ATGATTGGCGTGACGTGGTGGGGGATGATAGTGTGATGTGGTATGATCCTGTGTGAGAGTCAAAGTGAAATTAAGCATAACCTCATGGCTGAAACTCCCTGATGTTGTTAGCATAAATAACCTGGAAAATAATATATGCATGATATAATGTATGATTGTTAGAGCGACATTTCAACCGGAACAGTGACCAGCATTACATTTCTTTTGGTTTGCAGTAAGACTCGTGATTAAGAACCTGGAATGGTCGGTGGCGTGTCGCACGAGTCCGGAACACTCAACGAATGACAACGTGGAATCGTAACTACCGGGATGAGACAGCTTGGCGGATGAACAGCTGAGTGGTGTGACGTTGAGACCTTCGACATGTGGCAAATAATCATTCTGTTATTCATAACATACGTCTTCGTAACTGCGCAGTGAAGGAGCAAGTGCCGTGCATTGTCCACACGCAGTATGAATACCACTCCACGACCGACCGTCACAATCGGGGCGGATCACCTGAGTCCAGGGTATGGGGGCGGGCCGGCATCAGGTGACAGTTTCGTTCGTAATGTAACAATAATGTACACATATTTCACAATAAATCTACATTTCTAAATCATTTTTGTATAATGAAAGATACATATATTGGATTGAATTTCATCAGAATTACTACATTCCTACAGTGATGTCATTTCCAAAGGAGAAGCACAAATGCATTGTTTAGAATTACATATCGGCGTAGAAAGCGAGTCGAGAGGTGCCACGTCCTGGGTCAGTCATAGCGAGGGGTGCCAAGGGTCAACATGCGAGGTGCCGCCGCTCTTTTCCTCATCCTGGCTGGTAAATATTGATAATCCGAAGATCAGGTTATTCTAGATCAATATAACCTTGGGTGTCGTGTGATCTCTGATAACATTTCAGTGTGCGTAGATATATTATTATTCATCATTCACTTATACATTCCGAGTACACATATGTACCTTTCTTATATTCATGTATATTTGCTGTCAATGGAAATATATATAGATATACAAATATACAAATCCAAATATACATTGCGCTGGTGTATCTGAACAACTGCCTCTTGTATTTGCGCAGAAATCTAAAAGGCAGTTTCCGGTTAATTGGTAGTAAGTTTGCAAATGCTTGCGTATTCAATGGCGCACTGTTTGAGTTCCAAAATAAAAACACTCGTATTGTTCCCAAGAACGAGAGCAACGTACACAAACCGTTTTAATAAAATAGTATCTGGCGATAAGCTGTTGACCGGCAATGTTAGCAATGTGTACTTTGTATGTACAGTGAAAATGTCCTTTAAGTTTTAGTATGTTTTATGCAACATTAAATTATAACCTGAGAATATGCGAGGCAAATTATTAATATAAGGTTTATAAATATACATACATACAAATCTACACACACATATATATATATATATATATATATATATATATTACACACACACACACACACACACACACACACACACACACACACACACACACACACACACACACTCACACACACACACACACACACACACACACACACACACACACACAACACACACACACACACACACACACACCACACACACACACACCACACACACACAACACACAACAACACACACACACACACACACACACACACACACACACACACTACACACAGCACACACACACACACACACACACACACGAAAAAAATGTGAAATCTGACTTGCATATCCTCTGTTATCTAAGAAAACATGTATATTAATGAACAGCGATTTGGTTATATCATATGCAACATCTACTCCTAATATAGTTATAATACAAAATAGCGCATACCACCAGAAACAATAATCACAACTACGCTTTTATGATATTCTTCACCAATGCAAGTCATAAATCAGTTCCCGTATCATTCCAATAACAGACCTACGCGGCCGAACCATTGTCAGAAAACAAGCAGTATATTTATAGAAAAATAGAAAAGGCAATCGCATATAAAGTACTGAATAAAATAATGGACATTTATACGTTTAGGATATATATAATCAAAAAGACTCATCACAAGTGGTTTTGATCCAATATGCAGCTAAAATACGTGTACATGCATTTGGTGTATGAATCTAATTAGAAACAGACTTAGGCAATTTCTTTCGAAGACTCGCATGCCAGGTCAAATAGCACACCTTTGGTTAAGATTACTGACGCGTGGGTGCGTGCTTCGTACACTTCTATATAAAATCGACAAAAGGAAATTAGAAACGAAACACACGCACAAACACACACACACACACAACACACACACACACACACACACACACACGACACACACATACACACACAAACACACACACACACACACACACACACATACACACACACACACACAAACACACACACACACACACACAACACAACAAAACACACCACATAAAAGTAAGCCAAATATCACACTAGACCAAGAACGCCGCACACAACATTCCGCCAAGTACGGGAAGACCGCGAATGGGCGATGACACAAGACG